ATTTACCAGTTTTAAAGATATTATTAGTCTTTAACTAGTAAAGATTGCCAAGTCCTGCTATCAAACAACTGAGATCATATGCAAGAGTTCTTTGTGAACTCTAAAGTCTGAAAAAATACTTCATAATTAATGGTAAACTGTATCAATTATAGTTAACAGTCATGATGCAAGGGAAGGTTCCTTGTAACATGAGATATGTTCATCTCTGTGTCACTGACAGACACACAGCCGTGTGAGCACCATGGTGAAGCTCTCATGTGCACTGTACGGAGGACACTCTGGTCACAAAGAGACCAACTTTCTGATACCGAAGCAGAAGGAAAACAAACATACAAACAATTTTTTTATTACTGTGTCCATATAAATGTTCTAAGTCCATTTCAGCCTAGGAATTTCGAAAACATTCTCTTATTGGAAACTCCCAGATTCTGTTAACAATGAAAGGGGACCCAGATTTTCTCACAGATGAAAACTTCCTGAATTCTCAGCTATGCTGATTTGAGCTTCTCTTCCTGGGAACAGTAGAAGACAGAACAGTCACTGAGTTCTAGAAACTGTAAGATGTTTCTAATTCAAACAGTGATTTCTGGGGTTTGGAGCCCCTACAAGATATAAAGAAACCCATCCATTAACCCACAGATCATCAGGACTGTAATCTACTAACCGGACTTCAAATGTTTTGGAGAAGAATCAGTACAGAACAACAAGTTCCCCTTCTTACCTGTGTACTTTCCATAATCTAAAATAGTCTTAGTTTTTCCACAGCATCTGTTCTGTTCCTTCTGATTGTTGCAGCCTTCATACTCTGATGACTTATTTGTCAGTATTTTATCTGAGGCGCTGATATTCTGTCCAGTGCTTTGATTGACGTTGTTTTGATTATATTTTTCTTGACTACACTGAAAAACTAAAATTAAAAGGGATATAACTGAAAATGGTTATTAATGCTAAATATTGAAATTTAAGATATAAGAAAAGGCCTCATGTTGATAGTATATGCCATTATTTCAATTGCTATTTTGACATTTGAAAAAATAACATCTCAATTGACTCACTATAGATACGGAAACATCAGTTTCTATTAGAAAGTTCAGTATAAAGTAAATGTAAATCAGAATTAAATTATGGTGGAAGCATATTAACTTCCAATCCCTTCAATTTTTCTCCGCACAAAACTTACAAATAAATATCTAACTAGTGAATTCAGTCAATCTTTAACCTACACTAAAATGTGAATTAAGAAACATATAGGTATGGCACAATTCTCAAAGCATCAGATGGAAAAATAATATCCTTGCGTGTAGTTATATTTTAGAACAGCCTGGGAGTTATATCCTCCAGGGATGTGAAGGAATCTAACAGGGTTGGAGTTTTAACTTCTCTGTACATGTCTAATCTTTTCACACAATCATGTCTTCAATATAGACTGAGGAAACAAGAAATCCATCATTCCTTTTGTACAGCTGTTTCTCACAGATTGTTTAAGATTCACAATCACCTGAGCTCAGAAGGCAGACTATCACCAAGTTCTCAGAATGAACATTACCAGTAATGAGAAAGTACAAAAGCTCTCAACAGCCCCCAAATTAATGAAACAGGTGTAGAGAAACGGTGTAGAGAAACAGGGGTAGTGTGCCAGGAATAAAATCAACCTAAGTCCAGAGTTACGTGTCACATCCCCTGATTATAGTCAGCGCAATGGACTGAGTGTGTTGACTACATAATTAGTGTTCGAAGTTATTGCTTAGGCAGAAAGGCAAAGAAGATACATGCCAGTTACTCACTGAGTGTCACCAACACTGCCACTGTCACCAGCAGAATAAAACAAAGGATTCCGAGAACTATCACAATGAAGTGCCAAGGTATTGACGATTCTTAAATCAACAAAGCAAAACAAAAAATGTCATCATTGTGAAGAGCATATTCCAATATTGATAATAATTTTGTGTAGCATGGAAACAAGGGGATATTGGTCTATAAATCTTTTACAGAAGTCCATCAGACAAGCTGACTGAACACTTGCATTCAAAATTCTAACTTTCTACGTAAACGTAAATATTGCAGAAATCCTACATGTGTAAAACTTCACTGGATTTTAAACCTTTTTAAAATATTTGATCTTACATTATCAATCTTCTTAACTCAGCCTAGAAATAGCTGGATGGCAGGCATGTGCCCCTCACCAAGTACTACAGGATCAAAAGTGCATCTTTCAGAAAGCACTGGGGACACAGACACAATCCAAGTAGAAGATGATAAAACGGAGCATGCAGTCCACCAAAGGAGCACAGCTGAGGATGCAGAGGAAGGGAAGAGGGGTGGATGTTCTTGAGAACTGTAGGGAACCATGGTGGTTCTGGAGCTGACCTGTATACAGGTTCATTCTTGAAAAAGACAAAAGTTAACTCTATTTTTTTTCTGTGAGTTCTATTTTCTCTAGATAATACAAAACATCTTCATTTATCTGAGGTGTTGGGAATCTGAAAGTCAAGCCTCCTATTATCACCATGTCAAATAAGTTAATGTTTGCAACTGAGAGTTCATCGGTGACATTATATACAGAGTGAAGAGAAAAACAGAATAGATTTTTTTATTAATAAGTTTATTTCTCCTTTGACATTTTCAAAAATACATAATGCAGTTTAGTCAGCTCCACCCTCACTACTACTACTACTTCTTCTTCTTCTTCTTCTCTCTCTCTCTCTCTCTCTCTCTCTCTCTCTCTCTCTCTCTCTCTCTCTTTCTCATCCCCTCTCTTCCTCTGCCCCTTTTTTCCAGGAGAAGACTCCCTCAATTGATTGACAAAGTTTGTTGTTTCATTACATTAGAGGTTGTAAATATTTGAGACAATTAAAACACCCTCTGTTAGAATAAAAGTATTGTTTCTAATGAATATTTTGCATTTCCTTGAGATCTAATTTCTCTAGAATATCTGTTGTTTCTTAAGATTTTATTGTTACTTTTTATTATAGTCCTGGTCTTTTATTTCTTTTTGTACATCAGGCCATGAATTCGTAGGGAATGGGATCCAGCAGCTCAGGCTGTTAGTCCTCACGAAGTGTGCTTCTCTGGGTGGAGCAGGCTTTTAAAAGTTCCAGAATTGTTATTTATAAGACTAAAAACTCAATCTCTTAATTGTTTCTCAAATTCGACAGATTATATTTACTTCTTCCTTCTCCATTCTCATAATTGCGTCCAGTCTCCCATTGTTCTACTCTGCCCATCTGGCTTGCTTTTGTTACTAGCTAACAACTAGAAATAGGATTATTGCTGAGTGGTGGTGGCATACACCTTTAATCCCAAGACTCAGGAAGCAAAGACAGGTGGATCTCTGAGTCTGAGTCCAGCATGGTCTACACCGTATGTTTTAGGAGAGACAAGGCTACATAGAAAAACCTTGCATGAAAAAAAAAAAACTAAATAACTAAATAAAAAATAAAATGAAACAGAATTTCACCAGACTTGATGGTACATGCCTTTAATTCAAGCACTTGGGAGACAGAGGCAGACAGTCCAGTTTGAGCTCAAGGCCACCATAATCTGCAAAGTGAGGTCTAGGACCAGTTAACATTATTAAGCAGGGAAATCCATCTCAAACAAGCAACAACAACCACAGCAACAAAAGTAAAATTATTGTTTTTAACATCAGCCAGTAAGATATTATTTTCAAAATTAGAACTTTGTGTTGAATTAAGAACAGGTAAATTAAATGCTTAAAACACTTACCTCTATGGACAGCTTCTCTGGACCTTTGTGTCTCATCAGGCCTTGCTCGGTTCTGCAACTCTGAAGACCTATGGAATCTCACAGTTGTGTAAGTGATCTCGTTGTTGGTCATCTTGGGAATATATGAAGTGTGGTCTATGTACAAATTTGATCTTGAGAGATTTCCAAAAAACAAGTTAAAATGTTCTCCTTCATGAAAATACCTGGATCTGATGCTGCAGTGCAATAGGAAAGGATGGTGTCTAATTAATTTAATGATCCAAACAACCTAAATCACATGGACTGGTCCTGATTTCCACTAGAGATGAAACCTTTTGCGGATTTCTGTCATTTATACATCTAATGGCCACAGGATGTTTTATTAGGAAATATAGAAAAATTAAAAATTTACTAACAAGTCATTGTAATATTAACACAGTACCTATATAAAAATGTTACACAAAATTGGCACTAGCACAAATCATTGAAAAGCCTTTAAACTATCAATTAAAATGACAAAATTCAAGGCTTTCTGGATAAATAAAAATCTTTGCTTTTAAATTATTTACATGGTTTGATAAATACATGAATATAAACATGCTTTTTTAGTTTTTTTAGTCATGTGTGACTATCAGAGTTTCCTAAGCACTACCTTTGAGGCAATATTTGAATGTTAATTCTATGCATTGGTGATTAACATTATGGGCTCCAAGTACATAACTATCTCTTGTGTTAGAGCTCAAACATCTGATATGTCCACTTTCTTCACCAAGCACACCTGCACATTCTTCTCCAGGGTCTGGCCTACGAAATGGACGCCACTGGGAAAATCTTACTGAGTGGGGGTAGGACAAACTCAGAAAGACAAATGCTCCACGTTCTTTCACATCTAAGGCTCCTGGCTCCATGAATTCATACATGATACAAAACCTGAGTGGCTACAGCAACCAGAAAAGTAGAAAGGGTCATTACATAGGTAGGTATGGAAGCAATAAAGAGGGTAATAGCAGGATAGGACCTGAAGCTTTAATCTCAAATTATTCAATGTACATAATCATTTCACACATAATGTTGCAGTATATTGTCAGATGAGCATATATTTAAATAAATTTTATCATTATGCAGTTATTAGTTCATGCTCATAAGGGATACAGTCTGGTAATAGATACCAATATTTTACTAAATAGTAAATATTTATAACTCACCCTGACCATTACCTTTATAACTGAGATGGTAACCAATAGATAATATGGACAGCAAACTTTTCATCGATTGAAGCTTCTCTAGTTTTAATTTATGAAGTTTCCTGAAATTATTCAAATTTCCCCTAATTTCTTAAGTAAAAGGAATCTTTCTATTGCATACATATATTTACTTTTTATTTATTATTATTGTTGTTGGGTAGGTGCTTGTGTCATTGTACACATGTGTGCAGAGGAGAACTTTACTGAGTGAATGCTCTTCTTCCATGTTTTGTAGGTTTCAGAGATCAACTCAGGTGGTCAGTCAGACTTGTGTAGTAAGTATCTTTACACACTGAGCCATCTTACCTGGTTGCTATTATAACTTCTTCAAGATGGATAATATTAAAATATTTGGCCCAGTTATAGAGTAATGAACTCCATAGATTCCCTTCACCTTACTTAGCACACAGTACGAGACATAGCATACTCAGAAAGAAAACAATCAGCGCCCAACTCCAATTTTCACATGCCACCAAAGTTAACAAAATCTAACACAACTAGCAGGGCTTCCCCAACAACCCCTCTCTTAAGTTACAGACACCTGAAGTTCTCTAGTGTACGTGATCATGTCATAGAAAAATAATAATAACAGTTGTTACCTGTGTCTCTACCAGGAAGCAATTCCTGTCAATGAGTTGATCCTCCAAGTCAGGGACAAGCTGACCTTTCCTGGCCTGGATTCACTCAGAGCTCCAGGAGAAAAGTCAGAATGAAGTCGTCTCTGAGTGATACTCAAGCTCATGAATTTTAGCCCCTCCTCTTGACAAAAACAAAAAGAGGAAATTGTACGATGAAAGCTGATGCTGACGGAGAAGAAAGAACCAAGCTACCATATCGGTTACTGCAAATGATGTCCGTAATCAATATTTGAAGATTGGGGAAATACACATAACTGTGAGAAAGTAAAACCAGTGTCTCTAGCAAAAACACTAGTAAAAAGAGGTGCACAGTTGCTCCACTCTTAATTTTGTAATAGGTTGATTGGTTTTTTTTCTAACATTACTATTTGAAAATACATTAAAATTACTTTTTATTTTTGAATTATGTTTATTACACCTAAGTGTGTCCTAGGAATTTCTGTAAGGCACTAATATTTTTGCTATAAAACTCTTCCTAAAAGTTAGCTTCTTATTCATAGAGAATGTTTACAGTGGTCTTTTATGTTATACCATATCGAGTGGTCTCATTGCTGAGGTTTTCATAGATGTGTGATATCAAATCTAAGATATTCTGCATGCTCTGCAAATATTCTAAGACTGAGCAAGAGACTCAGTCTTTGTTTATTGTTTTGTTTTGAGATTTTTGGTGTTTTTTTGACAGTTGTTATATCATACTTATTATGCATCCTAGGCTGGCCTAAAACTCTGACTGAGTCCTTTGGACTTAATCTCTTCAGTGTGGATATTTAGCTATCTGCCACCATACAAAGTTATACTATGTTTCTAATTTAACTTTTTAATAAGTAATAAGCATTTTTATTTTGTAAATATTGATTTACAAAATTTTAAAGACATAATTGTTAATCATTTCTGCACACTATAAATTAAGTAATTAGATATCTCCTACTGTTGAATATTTAAATTATTTACACTATTTTGTTGGTTGTTAATTTAAAAATCATATGGGCTATACTTTAAAACATACTTAGGAAGATATATGTGTGAAGTCATGGGATCAAAGGAGACAGACATTTAATAAGCTATAGTATAGATTATCACACACACTGTAAATAATTTGTAGTCCACCAGTTATGTGTAAAAATATTCACAATTACTTTGTTTAAAGCTGAAATAAGCTGATTTTTTTCTCTATGAGTTTTGCTCATAATGTTTGTAATGAGAATTCCTGCAAAGAAGCTGTGTCAGTAAAGACTGCTTTGCTCATTACTAATTAAAACTACAGTGGAGAAGTTGGGATTCTCTAGACACGGAAACTAACTACTTTACTACATGATAGTTCTAGCTCCTACACATTCTTTGGCCACCTACAACAGAACTAACATCCTGTAACTAATAGATAAAGACTTTGTGAAACCTATTAACTTAGCAGATCACTAACTTCCACCAAACTGAAAGCTAAGCATGTCGTCTGATATCATATAGAAAATTTCCTCCATATTGCTTTAACCAACTTTCTGTTGCCCATCAATATATCTTAAATTTGCCTTGATCTATAACTTTCTCAGTTCTGAAAAATTAAAGAAACTTCATGAAACTACTTCCACTTTGGTATATGGACCATGGTCACTTGAAGTCTATCTTTTGTTACTTTAAAGGGAAAAGCTGGTTTTTGCATCAATAGGACTTCCTTCAAAGCTCTTGGTGAGTTTGCACATTCTTCTACTGAATGCTGACTTTAGAAACATCTTTGGGATTAGGGGTACAATTCAAGTAAGGGCTTTGCTTGACACATATAAAGGCCCAGACTAGACACCAAACAGCACAATGGTGATGGTGGGAATGATGATGATGATGATGATGATGGAGGAAGGAGGGAAACAAGACTATTTGATTCCTACAATCTATTGCCATTAGCTAACCTTTGTCAGAAATAAACTTTATTTTCCATTTGATTATAGAATTTCTAACCTGATGGTTTGTCTTTGATTAAACTAATATAAATTGTACATCAGATCAAGTGACAGAAACTAGTGGAACACTGGAGAATGGGGAATGGGCTAGAGAAAAGAAAAGGAACTGATGAAGCAATGGAAAGTCTGACCCCCACTTGACTATAGCAGAAGTGAACTTCCTGTTTCTCTCTTGTAATTTGAAAAAGCAACATCAGAGAGAAAGACACCATGCAACAGAGCTCAGGAAGAGAGATGTTTTATTGGGGGAAAGTGAATGGAAAAAGGGTAGAGAGAAAGAAGGGAGACTGCCTCTGGGGACACAAGTGATAGAAGAGAAGAGAGAGGCAGAGAGACAGAGGGTGGGAGAGGAGAGGAGAAGAGAGGAGAGGAGAGAAGGGGAGAGGAGANAGAGAAGGGAAGGGGAGAAGAGAGGAGAGGAGAGGAGAGGAGAGAAGAGGAGAGAAGAGGAGAGAAGAGGAGAGAAGAGGAGAAAAAGACTAGAGGTGGGCAAGGCCCACCCTTTAAAATGGAGTAAATGGAGTGTAGTGAATGTGGACAGGAGTTGCTCTTAATGATTGCTGTCAGGTCCCCAAAAGAAGGCCAGTACAGATGCCTGACTATTAACATCTCTTCCTTTACTTACTTCTAGCCAGCCTTTAGTTTTCAGTTTTTTAGTCTTCATTCATTTCCATCTCCTATGTTTGCTACTATTTCACAAAGCTGCCTGTGTCTTACATGGTCAGTTTCAATCTCTTTACATGGCTCATTTTGTAGATAAAATTTATTATTATGTCTAGTGAGTGTGTGTGAGTTTGAATGCATTCATGTCATGGCTTGCAAGGGAGGGTAAGAGGACAACTTTGGAAATTAGTATTTTTCTTCCACTTTGGGTTCCATGGATCAAATTTGGGGAGGTTATCAAGCTTGTTTGTCCAGTGCTTTTACTCATGGAGACATTTCACGGGGCCATTTCATGGTTTTTAAACAATTATCTCAGAGTCATCACTCAAATCTACAATTATTATACACGAGATTTCTCCAAAAAGAGTTCATAGACATGAATTCATCTCTACCAGTGTAAGACAAGTTCATTGGGTGATTCCAGAGTGTCTCTAGCTAGTCACATTTATCTCTATCCCCAGTAGGTCAGCATTGAGTAGTAGGGCCCAAGGGAGCCCCTTCTTTTTCCATGGGTGACTATGGGGAGCACCTGACTGTGTGGACTTAGTGCTACTGCTCATAGGCACAGCAGCTATGACTAAGCAGGTTCTTTGTCTACCCACATTCAACAACTCCATATCACCCACACTACTTTTTGTTTGATTCTTTGTTTGTTTTTTCAAGACAGGGTTTCTATGTAGCTTTGGAGCCTGTCCTGGAACTCACTCCTGTAGACCAGGATGGTCTCAAACTCACAGAGGTCTGGCTGCCTCTGCCTTCTGAGTGCTGGGATTAAAGGCATGTGCTACCACCACCCAGCTTCACCCGCACGTCTTTTAAGTGACATCCCAGATCTGTTTCTTTCTGAAGAAAAGTGAGAGTTCTCACTCTTCTAGGTATTCAGTAAACTACCTTGTACTCTTGCTCAGAGATGTGGTGGCTCTGGAGTCAGTGCAGCCTACTGCTTCATTTCTGACTAGTCTGAAACAGAACATGCAGATTTTTCCTGATAAGTAATCCTGGTCTCATTTTGTAGTGATTTTATAAAAACAAAACCAGAAGTCCAGGTGACATGATGTGAGACTAAATCATTTGCTAGACATCCTATGTCTCCTATGGTAACACACTAAGTTTACTGTTGATGCTAATGATCAAAAGTTACCTACTTAAGCACAGACTCTGCCCAAAGAACATAAGCAAAGAAATCACCCAGTTCTACCCTCTGAACTCTGTTCAACTAAGCCCTGGATTTCTTGAATAAATGTAAATTATTGAGCATAAATATCATTAGAAAATAGAGTCAATTCAGATCAAACTGACTGACAATTCCACTGTGATTCTTTGACCAAAGTGTAGCACAAAACAGAAAATAACCATAATTCATCCCAACAGACTAGTGAAGCAGAGATGTCAGAAACTTGAAGAAAATTTTTGTTTTCTTGAATTTTGCTTCGAAATTCATTGTTTTGTGAAAAAATACCCACACAAACACGCTCAAGTATCTATTTACTTCTCTGGATTCTTTGCTGTGAAAGCCTTTATTTGTTGAACCACAGCTTCCTGTTCCTTTACGTTGAAACACATAAGTCTAGTCACACATTGAAACCAATGGGTCCTTCAGACCTCAGTGGCCTCATCATTTCACAGTACAAATAGATCTTCCTGTCCCAGGCTGAGGTGAAATTTTACTGGTAGTACTGGCTGGTCCTGGTCAACTTCACACCTCTTGGTGCTTCTGCCTTAAGGTGGAACTTTCACAAAATTGAAATATGGTAAACATCACACCTCTTAAGAAAACAGTAAGAGCTCTATTTTGAGATTTCCTGTGACCATAACCACATGTGTCCTGGCATTTACAATGACAAATAATGACAAATAATACTCTGTGTTATCATGTCTACACACATAGTCTTGCTGAGTTGCAAGCAGTGAGAGGGAGGAAATGTAAAGGATGCTTCAGGAACTCAGTAAGAGTGATAAAAAGGGTTTCACATGAATTTATGGACTCTGATACTGAGACATAAAACTTATAGAGGAGAAAACAGTTAAATATCAACACATAATACCTTTTTAGTCCCTGTTCTCTACTGTATCATAGCTCAGAGGAGTGACTTGAAGACAACCCCACTGCATCTCTGTGGAGTTAGCATGCTCAGCTCATCCACTTCAAAACACTATTTATTTTAAATTTAATTTTCTTTTTTTTATTTCTGATGAGTGGTCTGATATGGTTAAGATGGCCTAGAACTGACTATGTAGCTGAGACAGGCCTAGACTCTTAATCCTCCTCCCTCCAAATTTTGAGTTCCAGGATTACAGTGTGAACCACCATCTCCAGTCCTAACATCATCTATTTGTTTTTAATTGTGTATATTTTGATTTTGTGTATTTTGATTTTGATGTGATGCTTATCCTAGTTCATTATCCAGTAGCCCTAGGAATTCAGCTATTGAAACAATCAAAT